TCAAATGTAACAAGATACTGATATATCACACCTGAGGAATTCTATACACTATACTTTCCAGGCAATTATCTTAAAACAAGTATCATGAAGATGGCCAAGAGCCAAAAAAAATTATGGACCAAAAAAAGTGGAAACCAGCAATTATAAACCAAAAGAATATAAATAAGGAGAAGGTATTAAAAAGAATCAACCAGAAATTCCACTATATATATATGTATATATATATATATATATCTGAAAATTAATCTATATTTAACTGTTTTAATGGGTTAAGAGCAAACAGATCAGACAAAAGAAAACTCATTAAAACTATCAGAATAAGGAAACAGAAAAAAAAGTCACTGAAGCTAAAGAGGGACAACCTTAAGAAAGTCAGCACTTACAGTATGGAATTCTCACTAGGAAAAGAGACAAAAAGCTGCTATAGATGGTAAGATGGAAGGCTAGAAGCTTTAGCACTGAAACTCCCTGAGTGTTATGTCTGTAGTAAATTGTTTCATTAAGCCATAGAAGCAAGAAGGAAAGCTGAGGAACAAAATCTACCTGGAAATATTTTCCACTCTAGATCCACTCTAGACTGCATGTCTGCCTGTTGCAGCAGCCCAGGAGACAGAAGCAAACTATGGAAGAGTTACTTCTTACAAACACAAACCTTCAGGACCAGAAGAGGCCAGAGTGGAGAGCAGGGGTCCTAGGGAGCTACCATGGAAAGATTTACAACCTTCTCTCTTCAACATGACAGAATCCAAAGAATATGGGGGCTACAAAGACCAGTGGTTCCCATATGCACCTCTGCATACAGCATGCCACAAAGAGCCTACTAGAACAAGAGGTATCTGAGAGCTTCATCTCTATACTAAGCACAGATTCACTAGCAATTCACTCCATAAGTAGTCTTTTCTTATTTTCTATTATTTAACTCCTTCTCTTGCATGTATATCTCACCCTGGTTTGGCTTTTGTGTGTATATTGTTCCCAACTTTAGAAATGTTGTTCATCTTTCTTGACTCATTTTACCACATAACATACCTTTATTATATATATTCTTCAGCCCAACCTCAAATAATATCCTCTTATTCATCTGTCATTCTTTCTCTCATCCTTATCCTTTCTTCATTTTACTTCTTAAATATTTTTCCATAACCTTAATTATCTCTAAAATCTGAATATGCTCTATAAAATCCATGGTCACCAGTTGTCTAATATGAAATTTGAGTAGTAGTAATATCTGGTATCTATATTTGCTCTCACAGTTAATATATCACTTGGGCAATAATACAGAGTTTATTTGGGTTCTTTTGTGCTTCTGGAATGAGGAAATATCTTTTGAACTACACACTCAACTCTACCACATCCAAGTCCTCATGAACATTGTAAACACTTCAACTAAAAGAATACAGCTGGTTTTTAAAACCTAAACTAGACAAATACCCAAGATATATAAAAAAAAAACATGAGAAATCAAGAAAACACAACTTCCCTAAAATTATTACCACAATGGCACCAACTGAGAGTGAATTAGTGAATTAAATAAAACCACATCAGAGAACTCCAAAGAATTACTAAGTATATAACAAAAAAAAAATGGAAAGAAAACAGCTCTTGATTGAGAAAACAAAATAGCTAAATGGAATAAGGAAAGCAATTTTAGATTTGAAAGAGGAATCCAACAAAGAAAAATAATAAATAAAAATCAATATGAAATCCTGGAAATGGAAGATTTAAGTCAAATAAAAATCTCTCTATAAAGTTTTACCAATAGAATGGCTCAAGGAGAGGGAAAGAAGCTGAAGACATGACAGAGAAACTGGAAAATCTGACCAGAAGAAATTTAAACAATATCAAAGAACACATGGGAATTCCAAGAAATATGGTTCTCTCTAAATAGGCCAATTCTATTGATCATAGGCATAAAAGAGGGAGAAAAATCTAGTTCTACAGGAATAGAAAATAAGTTGTTTTTCTTAATCTTAACAGAAAATGTCCCATTTAGGAAAGGGGGTGCCAGTGTGTATGTGGAAATATCCAAGATCACAGACAATATTAGACTAAGAACTCATAATACTATAATTCAAATATTAAATAGAACAAATAAAGCTTATTAAAAGAAGAGAAAAAAATTAAGCCTCACATAAAGGCCAGCTCATTAGACTATTAGCAGCTAATTTAAGTAAAGATTTACAATACAGAAGGATCTGGAGAGGTATATTTCAAGTCCCAAAAGACAACAAATGTCCACCAAGAATACTATCCCTAGGAAAGCTATCTGTTATACTTGAAAGAAAAATGAAAACTTTTCCTTAAAACACATTTCATTAAATCGAAAAACTAAAAATAATGGATGGATTTCTATATGCACATGATCTAACAACTTAAATGAAAGTGAGGGAAACAATTGTAAAAGAGCTATAAAAAGTAGTAATAAAAATCTTCCAACTAAAAAGAGAAAAGCCCAGGCCCACAAGGATTCACAAGTGAATTTTCACACATAATAAAAGAGAAATCTAAAATTAATGGCAAAGTAAACAAAATCTCAATACAAAGAGAATAACACCAAATGTTGTATTTTAAAATGATGCTAATGCTTATAGAAGCTCAGTAGGAAAAGATAAAACTGGTAATATATATATGTGTGTGTGTGTGTGTGTGTGTGTGTGTGTGTATAGTACAATACAAAAGCTTATGATATAGTTTATAGCTTATATAAATTCAGTAGCATATGATCAGACTGCTAACATGACCATGTTTGTTGTTGTTACTCTATTTACTAGATAGATAGGTAGGTAGGTAGGTAGGTTGGTAGGTAGGTAGGTAGGTAGGTACACATCAAGGGAGTAAAAATCCATTTTAAAAAACTCAACAAAATAGTTTCAAACTCTGTGTTTGGTGAAGGACTTATATACATTACATTTGCATAGACAGTTCTCCAAAGATATGCAAATTATCAATAACCCATGTAAAGATGTTCAACATCATTAGTCACAAGGAAAATGCAAATTAAAGACAGAATGTGAACTGGGGATATAACTCAGTGGTAGAGTATTTAGTTGTGCACAGGGCTGTAGGTTCGAACCCCATTACTGCAAAAGAAAAGACCCCAAAAAGCACACATACAATGAGATACCTTTTCACAACTGTCACTAAGTTAACTACAGTTAAAGAAAGGCAGAAAATATTGTTAACAAGGAAATTTAAAAATTAAATCCTCATATGCAGCTATTTAGAACAGAGCCTGGCAATTTACTCAAAACTTTAACAACAGTTACTATCTAACCTAAGAAAATCTTACTATAATATTACCAGAGACAAATGAAAATAAATGTATACAGGAGATAAAACTAGTACTTTTTCCCTTACCTATGACTGTTTATGGCTGAGGTCCATGCACAAATTAACAAGAGTGGAACAAGAACATTTAGAGGTTACTTTAATATTATATTCTACATTCTTGAGTGGTAGAATTACAATTCTCTCAAAATTATTTTTAAATTAAACATGGACACATTTGTTTCTTAACGTAACTTTCAAACAAAATTGTTATTTATATTATATCCTAGTGAAGGAATAAATAAATGACGGATGACTTACCAAAAAAAAATGAAATTGACTTTGCTACCTAATCTTGGTTCAAATTACAAAACTACAACACCTCAAGTCAAAGAAATAAAAGTCTATAAACAAACCCATACACACAAGGAAATTTGAAAAGACAGATTGAATCTCTGATCAATAAACAATTGAATCTGATGAGGTATAAAAATTAAATACTTTAGAACAGAAAATTTTTATCATACAATATTCTCAAATCAAGAACATTAAGGAAGGAAATAAGACACAGACTCTTACCAATTCGCAAACTTTTAAAGGCCAATTAATTATATTCAAGATACAGAAATGTTATCCAACTAGAAGCAAGAGCAAGCTATAGAATGGATTACTTGAATCACACACACACACACACACACACAACACACACAAAACCAAACAGTCATATAACTATAAATGAACACAAGGCAGCATCACTTAACCTCTTAAAAACTATCAAATTTTTAAAGGTTTAATTTTAGAAGAAAATAATAAAAATTTTAAAAATATATTGATTATATTACCCCAATGGCTCATTGGTCCACTAAGTTGTTGAACTGTAAAAAATATCTGCAACTGATACACACACACTCCAACTTATCCCTTCCCCCTAATGAATATTCATGCACAAATGTGTACACTTACTCAAACATGCAAACATACACATACACACAAATACTTAACTAAAATATACTTGATGCATATATGCATGAGATATTCTCTCCTTGTGTGCATACACAAAAATACTGCCATATTCACTATCCTTATTTGTTTCTGCCCTTTTCAATACAATACATGATGAAAGAGAAATTTGAAATTTAATGGGAAAATAAATTTAAAAGAACCCCAAGACAAAGAGAATATCAGAGAATGATGTTTTATTTTTAAATGATGCTTGAAATGGATGGGGATATATTCTAGAGAATACTATAAAGACTTTTAGCTTCTAATAAAATTTTACTCTTCCTTTTAAGCCAAAGAAAACACTTTGATAGAACCCTGTGCATTTTTAAGTGTTTTGTGGGGGTTTTACATGGTAATTTTTAAGAAAGTAGAAAAGAGTCTCCAGACTGTATTGTAATGAATTCTAGACCATTTTGAAAAAGTAAGCCTTCTTTTCCAAAAGCCAGACCATTGGTTCTAAGTATATTTTTCAAAACATACTTTATTTTAAAAGCAATATCCCTTATTTTTTAATGATTACATTTTAGGATAACTATTTGAAGTCAGTTTCCTGCTTTGCAACATCAATATTTAAAAAGCTATGGGTTTTAAGTGAAAGAATATAAATTAATGCTTGTCCCCACTGGTGGATCTGAATATATAACTTGTTATTTAAAGAAAAAGCATGTATTAAACTTCCTGGAAGAAGTTAGACTCAGAACAGTAGCATGAATTCAGCCCTCATCCTATACCTTTACTTTTGCATCCGCACTGTATTTCTCTTTCCTCCAGTGTGCTTCCTGGTTCCTCAGTCTCTCCAGGTCATTTAGCAGGTCAGTGCAGCGTGTATGTAATTTCTCATTTTCCTCCTCCAGGCTTTTTATACACAGTCTGTTTTGCTCTTCTTTATTCTGTACACACTCCTTAGTGTCCTGTAGAACAGTGCCATAAGGGCCGATAAACAAGGAAAAAAAAAATAAGGTGAGAACTAATCAGCAAATATAAACTGTGCGGTTTCATCCTCACAGCAGCTTCTTCTATATTTGATGGCCAAGGTCACCTGTGTACTTTATTGGCCTCTTTTCATGCAGGTGGATGGGTCATATTTTTTCACTGGATGACAGCTTTGATGAGTACACATTTGCAAAGAGCCCATTAATTGATCAAGCTGCCTTTGATGCTGTCCCCAGCTATTTTTGAGACCCACACAGACATATCCTCCCAGACCTGGGTTTTATCAATTAATAATGCCAGTCCCATCAGAATCTAATTACAAGAAGCCACATATTCACACTCCTCCTTTCTTAGCTCCATTTCCATCATTAACTATTTATCTGTAAGTTATAAAGCTCTGAGTCTTAGCTTTAAAGCATCTTTATCAGAGTTTTTGCATTTGAGAAAACTGTGTGGAACAGCAGGGCCTAAGGCAATTTTCCTGCAAGCCTGTCACTTTCTGTGCCACAAGGGCTAGCAAAACTTCAAGGGGGACTTCAAAGCAAAGGTACTGGAAAGCCATGCGCAAGACAACACACCTTAACTTCTTGGCTTTTATCTTTAAACTTCTTCTGTAAATCACTGAATTCTTTCCTCAAGAAGGCATTTTCTTCAACAACCATAGTCATCTGTTTCTCAAGGTCATTTATTTCCTGTCTTAATACTGACTCAGTCTGTGAAAAAGATTTAAATAAATTGTAAGCTGGCATGTCTAAGAGAAAGGCAGCTTTCATAAACTTTCTATCTTAGTTGTTAGTGTTAGCTTTCATAGTAAAGTCTGACACCAAAGTTCTCTCTTCCAGCACCACTCCCATGGGCTCTCACCTAAAAGGTGCAAGGACAGTGCCTATTTATTAGTTTAAGATGAAAAATAGATTTAAAACTTAACAGTAAATACTAAGCCATATTTTGAAAACAAACATTTAAGTTTACTGAAAGGAAAAGATGCCAAAAATTGATTTAAAATTCTAGGAAAATGTATATATAAAGTAAGATATAATTATTCTCTTATTGGGTGATATTTAGAAAACAGTTCTAGAAAAACAAATGTGGTTTTGTGAATGAATGAATGAATGAATGAATGATTGAATGATTTCAAAACTAAAAAGGGCAAACTTGGGTACCAAAATGTGTTGTCCCACAGATAGAATACTAAGATTATAGTAATTATAGCTAAACATTATTCACACTAGCTAGGTATTTATTCATTCCTAAATGGTGAATTGAAGACTGAACTTCAGTTTGAAGTTCAGTTTATTTGAAGCCTATAAGTCAGCTCCAATAATGTAAGCATTTATATGCAATCAAGGAGCAGACAAGGCAGATTAAAAATACTGGGGTTTTGTTATTGTTATTTGATTTATTTATATTTACATGGTTGGTTGGCTATCTTAGGCAGAGTCTCATTCTAGCCCTAGCTGGCATGGAACTTATTACATAGGCCACACTAGCCTCAAATCATGGCAATTTTTTCTTCAGACTCCCAATACTAAAGATTACAGGTCTATACCCCTACATCTGGCTTTGGTTTTGTTTTAAATATAAACTTCAGCAGAAACTAACCTTTACTCTCTCTCTCTGGTAAAACAATGAAGCTCAAATCACTGAATAACTATTTATTTTATATTTTAGTATCTATTCCTTATTAATCCCTCTCCAAGGATGTATGAAAACTGGAGCAACATATAAGGGTAAAAGGAACAGCAGTTAAATGTGGGGAATGAGTTAAAAACAACACCGTGATCAACTGAAAAGAAAAAAATAAAAAGGCTGTATTATTAAATGCTTGTTTTATTGTATTCCTACTGGAAGTATTTTAGATATTTAATACATCTAAAATGAATGTAGGAAAACTAATTAAAATGAGGAAAAAGGAAAGCAGAAGCACTCTACATACCCACCCAACTAAATACCCTAATGTTGCCATTATTTGTCCTTCTACGTCCCCTCATCTTGTAATCATTCCCTTACACCCCAACCCTGCCCAATCACTCCAGAGGTAATAGCTCCGCTGGAAGGATATATCTTGTTTTCTTCTCTTTGTAACAGTTTAAAGAAAAACACATTCTTTTTAATATATAAATATATAGTTTGCTTTATTTTAACATTATTTATATTAAATATTTAAATCATACTATACATGTTTTGTGTCTTACTACTTTTTTTCAGTATTTTTTCCCAAATTTGTCCATATAGCTGCAATCTAATTACACTAGTGGAAAACATGGCTCCATTACGAACATACTATAATATTATCTATTTCTTATTACTATATAGTTCAGCTGTCATCATTAATGAAAACTGTACACAGACAATTATAACACTATTAGTCATGTCTCCAGATACATATGAGTGAATATTACATTTTAAGTAGAGATTTTCATACTATAGAGTTGTGGGTGACTATCCTCCAAGCCCAGGAACTGCCATCTTAGAGTGGTCATCTGAGTCCATTTGCAAAATGAGTAGCCCAGCTGGGCTGGATAGCTGTCTCTATCCACCCAAGTGAAGGAATAGGGAAGGTTATGGGGCCCTATTTCATTTTATACAAAACTCTGCCTTGATTTCACATGACCTCATGAAGGAGCTGGAATATATAGGTCATGGAAGACTAGAAGAGGGGGCTCCATCTGTGTGGCTATGAAAAGGCCATTATGTCTGCTAGGCAAAAGCTTTTAGAGGAGGAACACCTACACCCTTGTACCGTAACCACCTAGTCTCTATAAGGAAGCCACCCGAACTCATAGGTTTCCCAAAATAAACTTTAGTTGAACTGTGCTTCAATTTATCAGTGGAGCTTTAGGAGAAGACGTAGACAAATCTTTTGCCTCCCATAGGAAGGAATTTTACCAACAAGAGTACATTCTAAAAATGGTTCATTAGATTGACCAAGTGTTGGGGGGAGGATGAAACAAAATAGAAAATAACAATGATATGTAAAAATTATTAGCAAAAAAAGACCTATAATAATTATAAATTCAAAGATATAAGCATTAAATCTTTTCAGAAATAAAAACATCTATAGACCTATGCTTTAGGAAAAAAAGTTAAAAAAAAATAAGAGTATCTCTCACCTATTCTGGAATAGGTTCAAATGCTAAAAAGGAATGCATGTCAATGGTTTCTCATTATACACAGCTAAACATTACCAGACGCTGACCACATGAAGGATATAAGGGGAAAGCTCATATATGTGTAGACAGAAGTGTCTGTCCCTCCTGGTCCTGCAGCCATTCGGTACCAAGTAAACAAACAGAAGCTTATACTAATTATAAACTGTTTGGCATCTATGCTGCTTCCAGTTTCTTGCTATCACAAATAATGCTGCTTTGAACATAGTTGAGCACATGTCTTTGTTGCATGGATGTGGATCATTTAGGTATATGCCTAAGAGGGGGGATGCTTCTCAAATGAAGAATGGATAAAGAAGATGTGGCACATCTACACAATGGAATACAACTCTGCAGAAAAAAATAATGGAATCTTGAAATTCACAGGTGAGTGGATGGAACTTGAAGAAATTATCCTGAATGAGGTCACAAAAAGAGGAACATGGTATGTACTCAATAATATATGGATTTTAGACCTAGAGCAAAGGATCTCCCGCCTATAATTCACAACGTCTGAGTAGCTAGGATACAAGGTGTATTCTAAGAGATTCATATAAGGTCCCTCCCAGAAGGGGTGAAGTGACAAGTCCCCCAGAACACATGGGAAGTGGGGGGGGGGCATTCAATGGAGAGAGAACTAGGAGAAAGAGAAGGGCAGGAGAGGAAAGCATGTGTGACTAGGAAGATTGAGTCAAGGTAGGAACAGAAGACGGATAAAAGAGAAAGAAAGGAAGAGAGAGAGAGAGAGACAGAGAGAGAGAGAGAGAGAGAGAGAGAGAGAGAGAGAGAGAGAGAGAGAACATAAAAGAGCCATTGTTGGTTTGAAGAGAAAACTGGACCTAAAGAAATGTCTAGAGACCTACAAGACTGACTCCAACTAACAATTTGAGCAACAGTGGAAAGTCTACCATAAATGCCCTTCCATGATAATGAGATCAACAACTAATTTATCCACTATCATGGAGCCCTCATCTAGTACCTGTTGGAAACAGAAGCAAACACCCATAACTAAATACTGAGTCGAACTAGAATCCAGATGCAGAGGGAGAGGACAAGACCATGTTGCAGAAACACATAGAGACAGCTGGCCTGAAAAAGAAGGAGCTAACGGGCCCCCAGACTGATAGCTGGGAATCCAGCATGGGACTGACTCAGACCCCCTGAACATGGGTCTCAGCTAGAAGGCCTGGGTAGTCTAAGGGACCTCAGACAGTAGAACCAGGATGTATTCCTGGTGCACAAAAGGACCTTGCGGACACATCCCCCATGGAGGGATACTTACTAAACCTAGAGACAGGAGAGAAGTCCTAGTCCCTACTTCAAATGACTTGACAGATTTACATGACCCCACCTGGATGGCATTGCCCTACATGTGGAATGTGGGTGGGGGGATGGGAGGGAAGGGTGGTCATGGTGTATATGAGGGGAGAGAGAGAGTAAGAGGGAGGGAAGGGGAACTGGGATCGACATGTAAAATAAAAAAAAAACCAAACATATACATAATTTATAAATAAAAACAGAAAGTGAGTTATTAGCTAGCTCAAACTGTCATATTCTAAAAATTAGTTGGACAAGTGATATCTACTGAATAATCATCAATATTACACAAAGATGAATTTCTGATAAAAAGTTGATAAACACTCAAACTTTTGTATTTAAAGAATATTTTCCTAATGAGAAAAATCTAATTTAAATAATGAAAGTATGGATAGATACAGCTACCATTAATTTTATAATTTAGCTTTATGATACCTTTTCAGTAACTCTTTCTCAGTACAGTAAATTTCTAATAGTCTGACATGAGTTCATACTAAAATAGCAAACATAACTCAGAGGAACCATAAAGCATAAAGGGCAACAAGACAAAGTATATCTGAAACAAATAATTTATTATGGACAAGCCAAGAAATGAATAATTTAAATCATGGTCAAGAGAAGCTTATAGAGTAAGTATGGATTACGGAACAGCATACAACCTAAAACCCTACTAGGCAGTACTGGAGTATAGTTAATTTATTATTAATTACAAAGAATGGAAACAAGAGCTCTAATAACATACAAAAAAATAATAAAATCACTACAAACAAAACAATGATAAAGAAAAGAGAGGAAGAAGCAAGAAAGCTAAATACAACTGAAAACCAACATTTATTTCTATGCTTCCTAGAAGGGGTGTATGTTTGTGTGTGTGTGTGAGAGAGAGAAAGCAACATTTGACTAAATGAATTATAATAGGTTATCAGAAGTCATGTCATTTCCTATAATAACGAAAATGTTTTCACAATATAACTTATTTTGTAAATCATCAGTAACGTATCTACAGTTCTGAGACAAAAGAGCAAAGATTCAACCCTCCCCACAGCTGGCAAGTTCTTTTCTTTGTTTGGACAGCTTTCTTTTTCCTTATTTGTTGATTAGCTGGTTTTCATGAGAACTGGTTTAAATTTATCTTTATTGGACATGAGGTAGTTGCTGATTTTCTGAAGCCTGAGTGGACACACATGTAGCCCATGCATGACTCTCTGTCCCAAGTTGGAGGTGGGCAGCCACACTGGTCTGTCAATACTGGAAGTTAGATGTGGTAGTAGATGGAAGGACACACACCTATCAGTTCTGTAGCTGCACCAACACCACTTCCCCTAATGCCGTTTTCGCCCTTTGACCCTTACTTCTTCAGCAGCCACAGCCAAGGTATGTACCATTGCCTTCAGTTGTCTTCATACGTGCTGCTGCTGCCACAACCATCCACTAGACACTAGAGGCTGATGCTTCTAGTGCTGCTGTATCTGCTATCAGAAGCTTCCCTGACTCAATAGAGTTTCCCTACAGCCTCTCAATCATCACTCAAGGGCTGATGGGCACAACAGGCATGAACATACTGGTGTCAAATGAGAAACCAGGTGCTACATGCAAATAACGATCAGGATAGGAGCAGAAATTCCTCTTCAGTCAACAGTGAGCTTTCTTTGGCCTTTACCAGCCTGGTCCTTTTGCTTACATAGGCTTAAATCCTCATGTCTTCACTGAGTCAGTCTGGGAAAACTCTGCCTTATATACATTCCTCCACACTGTAGAAGCAGCCCAATGAAATCCTCACTATTTCAATCTAGTGACAGTAAGAACTGGGAATACTGATGGCTGACAGCACAGACAGCTGGTTAAGAAATGAGGGCTGAGAGCTCACAACACTAAGGGAAGAAAGCTCTCAACACTGAGGGCTGAGAGCTCACAACACTACAGGGAGCTGCACTTTTGGTTTTCATAATTTTTTTCTGAATTGAGCTAATGACCATTCCATTCAGTAGTAACAGTATTACCAAACAAAGTCTCATAGCAATCTTTACTATCAACTATATATGTGATAACATTAGATTTCACTTCTGTAATCATTATGTATAAATAATAAAGCTAAAAATACCTACCCTAACACTCTATCAATTTCACTAGATGCATAATAAAGACTTGAACTCAAGAAAATGCCATTCTCATTAATACTATATTTCACAAACTGTAAATCCTGAGTGGAAAATTACTTAACATTACTCAGTGAAACAACAAAAATTCAACAGATGTACATCTCTATAGATGCACAGATTAAGATACATGGGACGAAGTTATAATATGGGTTATTATATTTTATTCATGGAGAAATCACAAGTTCCCGCTCCAAGCATCCATGCCCAGGCTGCTCTCCATGACTCAACTGGAACCAAAAGAGAGCAAGCTGAGGTCCAGGACCCCAGACCTAGTCTTTGCCAGTCAAACCCAAACCTATGACCATGCCCAAATGGGCATGATCAGTGCAACAGGTGCAGGCAGAGTGGATATCTCACTACACATCTCTTTTCCAATTCAGCATAGAAGGATTTTTAAAGCCCCATTTCCAGCCACACAAGAAAAAAAAACTCAATGAAACAAAAATTCACATTTCTTGGATTTGTCAGAGAACTGGGGTCTCTGGCAAATATATATTTTGTCAAAGTGAAGAGATAGAGAAGAAATACAGACAAAATTGAATTATGAGAGTAGAGCAGAGAGCTCCAGATGAAGAAGTAAGAGAATGAAGAACCTAATCTAATCTATCAAGATGTACCTAGGAGGTGAAGGGCCCACCCTGAAAGTGGGGACCCAGATGTAATAAAAGAGGACTGTTGTGTCTCCCTAAGAAAAATCCTGTCATACAACAAAACTACAGAAGATCTACAATGTTGTAAATTATTTGGGCAAGAACTCAGATCAGAATGCTGAACAAAATGGACTTGTGACATGTCATGGAAAGGAGGACCCAAATGGGAATTTTATCAGAGAGGATCTGTAATGAATTCTCATAAAGAATTTTTAGTTTGACTGGGTCCTTAAACTTTGTGAGTATCTAAGTTTATAAAATGATAGACTAATTAATCTGGTGGGATAAATTTCAAAGCCACCCAGCATAGAGATGTCAACATGATTATTAACAGATGCACATAGTCAGGCTTTCAAGTCAGGCTTCCAAAAAGATTTGAGAGCACACAGATTTGAAGAATTACAGTTTGTCCATAAATTGAGCATGGAGAAAGATGGGGCCAAGGAACCTGTGCATACTAAAGACATCAGACTTTTAAAAGCCCATGTTTGCTTCAACTAGACAAGGGGAAAAATTGGTATTGCCTCAGAAATTTGCTGAACTCTCCCAATTTCAGGATCAGATATGTGGAAGTTTTAACTCACTTAAAACACTTGGATTCAGGATAAGAATTGTGTGGCACTCTGCTTGTACAGGATCACCTAAGGAAATGTTTCCCTGCATTACTAGTCCTGTAGGTGTTCAGAGGCTGCTGTATCCATAATGTAAGGAGGCACAGCTGCTGCTTAAGCTGAGGGCATGCCTAGCACTGTTCACCTGTTCACATGATAGATATAGATACAGATATATATATATATATATATATATATATATATATATATATAGAGAGAGAGAGAGAGAGAGAGAGAGATTTATATTTTTTTCCCAAGAATTATCTCATCTCACACAGATTTTTAGGAAGTGTTGGGAAGCCAAACTTTGCATAGTGATGTCAGTATCCCTTCAAACATCCCTGGAGAGAATTATGCATGATGCTATAACAGTCAAAACAAAACTCATTGTAGGCCTAAAAAAGGAAGAGATGCCAGAAATGCACACTATCTGCCAGGCAAAGTTGAAGAGAGTGGAGCCAACACCAAAGACAGCCCATGTGGGCAGAAAATGGCAAGGATATGGAGGCAGGTTTGCCCAAGTACTTTGGGGCCCAGATCATACTCCCCAAGTGTTAAAATGGATCTCCAGGACTTACTGTTTATCCTACTGACTTTGGTCTTACATTAGTCCTTTCTCTGTCCCTATTCTTTTATTTTTATATGGGAATGTTGACTCTGTTCTGGAAATCTATACTGGTATTCTATAATGATCTTTTCTTTAAAATTTTTTTTAACAAGGGCCTATTAATACGAGTTTGAATTGAATCTCAGAAGAGACTATGAACTTGGAGCTCTGAAAAGTGCTAGTACTAAGACTATAAGGAACTCTTGGAGGTGGACTAGTATATTTCACAACATGAGCTAGAGTACAGCCACTGGAGACAAGGTAGAATGATACTGTTTAACAATGAAATGCACAGCCACAGGCACATTGGATGGAATTTTGTGGACTAAGGAGAGCACACACATTTTTGTGGTAATAATATTCTGATTATAGAAACATATGAAAACTGTAAATTTTTGTTTAATTCTGTAATTTAATTTATATATACAATATAGGATTGCAAATACTTGTGCAAAAATTCAATAATGCAAATTTTCAAAAGTTAATGTAGAATAGTACCAACTATCGTGAATCTCTTCTATAACTGAAACCATGTAAAAATGTACGGATCAGAAACATGTGACTAATAATGAAGCAAAATAAAAATACAGTAAGACAATGAATAATAAATACTACTTTAAAATCCCAAGGGCCTGTTAAACATTTTAATGAGATTTACACCTAATCAATTTAGAAGATAGAGTAAGGTTAAGAACATGGTACAATAATAAAATATTGACTACAGCGATTTCAAAACAATTTCATGCAGAGATTTTGGTATTCTTAATGTATATTAGAACAAAAACTTCAAATAATTTTAAAGATCTACAACTTTAAGCAAATACCATGTTTGGTATTTCTCATTAGAATACAACCTGCTCCAATTCTTGTATTTTAACATCCTTGACTTGTAAAATTTCCAGAACTTTTCTGTCTTTGGCTTCAGATCTCTGTTTTTCTCTAGAAACAGAAAAATAGAGTTTATTAGTCATAATTCCTAGGCATTCCAATGGTTACTGTTACTCTTGCATTGTTTTCCAGAAGATCATACATGCTAAGTGAGTTTCTACCATTGTCCCAGGTCATAACTACGCCTTTAAATGATCACACCCTAGTAACAAATATATTTTTAAAATATAAGGTAGTTGCTTACCATGTGTCATTAGCTCTCTCAGAATTAATCAGAAACCATATGGATGGCAAGTGACAACAACTTAACCACTGCTGACAACAATGACAACTTCACTTTTAAGAAACTGTTTAGTTTCTAGGTGTAGGTAGATGATAATCAATGTGTAAAACATAGTTTAACTTTGATCATAAAATAATTTTCAAGAATTAGTAAAACTGCACTTATTAATATAAACATTTTATACAAAATAATGATAAAAACTATTCAATGGTCTTACCTAGTATTGGATACTACATGCTACATCCTGATCTGCTGACAAAATGTGTCCACAATATTGAGGTAAAAGTGGCATGAAAGTTATATAAGTTACCTGCTTCACATGAGGGACTTTGTGTCTGGTAATACAAAAGTTACCAAGAGCCCATGACTTGGAAGATAATCTGTCCTGGGGTAATCTACTGTTTTGTTTGTTTGTTTGTTTTGTTGTTGTTTGTTTGTTTTTGCCAACTGGTCATGATGTCAAAATAAATTCTAAATACTCATATTTATGCTCATATATTTGTATTGCTATCAACTTTAGTCAGAAGCTTCTTCTGTCAGTAGGTGGTGGCTAATACAGAGAAATAACTGACCAATGTGCTGAGCATAAATAACTGTGAGTGCTCAGCTGTGGATAGATCATCTATATCAGTCTTTCATTATCCAAGGCTCAATGAAGAGAAAGTAGAAATAATATGAAGGTCAGATCACTTGTGGGTAAAGCTGTAATTTGCTGACTTCCAGACATAACAAGGCTGTTCTAAGTAGCCACTCACAGAGGCTGCATTTACCTGAACAAGACTTGCACAATATTAAAGCAGTCAAGCTGACACATGGAGCTTCTGAGTCCAAAGCCTATCAGAGGGGATTCTAGCAATTGATAGCTGATGAGGAACAGTCATTCTCCCCTGGAAACATGGCCCAATATTAGGTTGCCATGGCCCAGCCAATGTCCATACACCTATGTTTATATGTGCAACATTAAATGAACCTAAAGAGTTGTTAAAACCAGAAGCAAAAGTATGTTAAAATACAAAGTTTGGGGGAAAATATGGTAGGGAGCTAGTAAAAGGAGTTGTGGGGGTAGATATGATCAATCTACATTGTATAAATACATGGAACATTCAAAGGATAAAAATGTTATTTAAAAGAGATCAACAATCAAAGAACCAAGAGGAATTTAGTGTAATAGTCACTGGGGTAAAGAAAAAGAATGGGTATGCTAGGAAAGGAAAGAATCCTTATAGATGTGGTCTAAAAAAGCACTGTCTCAACACTAGACTTTTATCAGAGGTAATATATCAGATGTGTCAAATCTTATTCAGTGTTTTATATTTATCTCCATCCATTTAACATTTCACAATGTATTTTAATTTTTTTGATAAAACAGATTAAAAACAAAACAAAAAAAAAAAAAACTCCCATGACTTTTAAGGTAAAAGACTTTAAAGAGAGAGAGAGGAAAAAAATAAAACGGATTTATAAACAGCCAATACCTGGGCTAAGAAATACTAAAATTCTAATATTTATCTATGTGCTTTCAATTATGTGAGAATATTACTAACTACATAGAAGTTGTAAAACTAGAGCATAGTTCTGAGAAACAAAGACCCATAATACATATAATTACTATAAATACATATAAGTAAGCACATATAGCATTACATAGAAAGATGATAAAGGAAGAGCTGACATTAATTTGACAATGGAAAATTTCATAACATAGTTTTAAAAGATTTTAAAAATAGAACAAATAGAAATCTGTGATTAAAGAACTCACCTATCAAATAATTTATACAAAAGGAAAGAGAAAGCATCACAAGTTGGCACAGGGACATAGATGAGGAAGGAACAGTCCTGGTGATGAGAGGCAGAGTCAGGAGGTGTCACAGTTTTGGAAAGGACTTTGTATTTAATGAGTTCACATATCAAGTCCTAGTGCACACTGTAGGTTACTTCTCTTCATGGACACTACTAATAGAAAAACAAGAGACATGGCTACCATGGCTAAGACCCTGATGATCACAAACTCAGCAAATACGGAGTTATAAATGAAAATGAAGATGCTATCTGCTACCTTCCAGATGCTGGCTGAAATGGATAGGACCTTGGCTTCTGGAGACAATAGGAAACAGAACTACTTTGTGCATGTGTAATTTAAAAAACCAAGACAGGTCTTCAAACTCCTTTGAAAGGAGGCTAGAAAAAGTGTCTGTCCACCTTTTCTGAAAACTAAGGCACATATATAGAAAGACTAAAGAGGCAAACGTTTATAGACAGGTAACATATGTATGAATAGATCAAAATACCCTCTAGCCAAAAGCCTAAATATAACAAAACTCCTATATTCACTGTTTCTGAAGCTTCAAGTTACCAAAACCTACTGCAAAAAGGTGAACTGAAGTGGAATTGATAATTCTGTAGCAATCATAAGATTTATATAAGGAAAGGACATTAAACAAAAAGCTATAAAGGTTGCAGAAGAAGACAATTAATGTAATTTCAAGTAGTGTCCATAAACAAACAAAACTCTAAAACACATGTACCCACATACACCAACATACTATCTCAATAACCAGATGTAATACTCTAGATAAAATGTAACATACATATATATGCACATGCATAAATATATATTAAAACAATCAATAATGTTGGAGAGGATGTGGAGAAAGTGGAACACTCCTCCACTGCTGGTGGGAGTGCAAACTCATACAGCCACTTTGGAGATCAGTATGGCGGTTCCTCAGGAAAATGGGAATTAGTTTACCACAGGACCCGGCAATCCCCCTCTTAGGCATATACCCAAAGGATTCACATCAATGCAACAAAGACATCTGTTCAACTATGTTCATAGCAGCACTATTTGTAATAGCAAGAACCTGGAAGCAACCTAGATGCCCTTCAATTGAAGAATGGTTAATGAAGATGTGGCACATCTACACAATGGAATACTACTCTGCAGAAAAAAATAATGGTATCTTGAAATTCGCAGGCAAGTGGATGGCACTTGAAGAAACCATCCTGAATGAGGTAACCCAGTCACAAAAAGAGGAACACAGTATGTACTCACTCATATATGGATTTTAGACCTAGATCAAATGATCACCAGCCTATAATTCACATCACCAGAGGAACTAGGATACAAGTTGTATTCTAAGAGATTCATATAAAGTCCCTCACAGAACTGGGAAGGGACAAGTCCCCCAGACCTCAGGTATAGTGGGGGAGGACAGCTAATGGAGAGAGAAGTAGGAGAAAATGAGAGGGAGGAGAGGAAGGCATGTGTGACTAGGAGGATTGAGCCTGGTTAGGAATGGAAAATAGGAAAGAGAGAGAGAGACAGAGACAGAGAGAGAGAACATAAAAGAGGGAGCCAATATTGGTTTGAAGATAAAGTTGAACACAAAGAAAGGTCGAGGGAACTACAAGACTGCTCCCAACTAACAATCTCAGCTTCCGTGGAAAGGCTATCATAAATGCCCTTCCCGGAGAGTGAGATCAACAACTAACTTCTCCATGGAGTCCTCAACTAATGCCTGTTGAAAACAGGAGCAAACACCCATACATAAACACTGAGTCAAACTAGAACCCAGAAGCAGATGGAGAGGACAAGACCATGCGGTAGAAGTACATAGAGACAGCTTACCTGAACAAGGAGGAGCTAAGGGCCACTAGACTGATAGCTGGGAAGCCAACAGAGGTCTGACTCGGACTCCCCTGAATATGGGTCTCAGCCAGAAGGTCTGAGCAGTCTAAGAGACCTCAGACAGTGGAGCCAGGATGTATCCCTGGTGCACAAAAGGACTTTGCAAACATATCCCCCATGGAGGGATAACTGCCTTATTCTAGAGATAGGAGAGAAGCCCTAGTCCCTACTTCACAGGACCTGTCAGATCTACATGACCCCAACTGGATGGCATTCCCCTACATATTGTATTGTGGTGGGGGGTTGGGAGGGGAGGGTGTTTAGAGTGCATGGGAGAGGGTAGAGAGGGCAAAAGGGAGGGAAGGAGGGAGGGAGGGCTTGGGGGGAGGGAGGGAGGGAGGGAGAGGGAACTGGGATCGACATGTAAAATAATAATAATAAAAAAAAAAAAAAAAAAAAAAACGCTTTGACTCCAAAATTTAAGTTGAAGAACAAGTTACTGGGGAAAAGTATTTCTATTTTTGTTTCCACAGAAAATGAAAAGATGTGGATTCCTTCCAGACTAATGTGGTTTGATCACACCAGACCGCCTGAAACAGAGTACAAGCTGATCCTACATTCCAAACAGCTGGACAAAACAGCCCTACAGACTACAGCTAGGATATCTGAATCTTCTTCGAATCCCCCAAGACAGCGCCCCTTACCAGCAGGAAGTAGTTTGGAAAGAACGACGCCCAAATTCCCAAATATTGTGTATAAATGTTTGTTTTCATTTAATTGGACTTTGTTATATAAAATTAAATAAAAAATACTCTATATGCAAAAAAAAAAAAAAAAAAAAAAGAATGTGAAGAGAAATACAACAAGCCCATGTGAAAAAAAAAAAAAAATTAATTAGATAAAATAATAACAGGTACATTTTATAGAATATTGCAAAATTTTGAAAATAAAAATTTAAAAACTAAAGCAAAAATAACTAAGAAAAAAATCTAAACACAAAAATAAACCAGTAACAATATTAACAATATTAATAAAGTACTCATCCAGGATGCTAGAGAGAAAATGATGACATTAAAAATATGACACAGTTAAAATACAGGAGTTTGTTCACTAGGGAATTCTAACATAGTCTATAACATT